GCAGCAGCAGCATACAAATGTGGGACATGTACAATTAGACACCAACCTGTGACCACACAGGTATAATCAGCTCATTTCTCATGATGCATCAAGCTTTGGACTGGCAGTTTGGACAACATGTTTAGGTTCTGGGACCTGCACTAGGGACATTAACTGCATGACTGCCTCACAGATCATGTATCTGGGATGCTCTCTCACATTTTGTTGTAGGCAAGGGAAGCAGCAACATGGAAGTGCTGTACATGAACAAGTCATAGAAGTACCAGCTGCATCTTCTAGAGAGCTGTGTGTGGTCCCTAAAATTTTCTTATTGTGGTAAGTGCTTTGTGGGTGCTAGACAATATCACCTACTCAGGGCAGACTTGCTACTGAACCAGTGTAATCCAATCTAAGGAATTTTCTTCAACACTTAGCTGGGATATCTTTATGGATTATAAATATACAGTCACTGTTCCTGGGAACATAGAGATTGCTTTGTATGAAATCATATACTGAAAGTGCTATGTTGTTTTAATTTATAGTTAAATTTAATAAAATGTTGTGAATTTAGAGGGCTAGGAAAGCCATCTTTAAAAGAAAAGGAAAGAAAAACAAAATACCCAGAGTAACCTGCTTCCACACATTGACACAGAACTGCCTAAGGAGGGGTAGAGGCAAAGTATTTATCTATGGTCACCTGTCTACTCACCATAAACAAATGGAGCATGACAACCATAAAGCAGAGGCCAGGGGTGTATGGTAGAAGAGGGAATGTGGCCACAGCTTCCTCATTCTGGGGTATTTGTCACGTATGTTTATGTCTTACCCAACTGAGAGCTTACCTCACTGCCCCCTTGCAGTTCACCTTGTTTTTGAATACTTTATAGTGCAGTGGTGTCACCAATGAATTTGTGTCCTCATTTTACATCTCCTGACATTACTTTTTGTACTTTTATTGGTGAAGATGTTGTATAACTTGTAAGTATATTTCGCTTATTACAATAAACCTTTAGAATCACAGGAAAAAAATTTGGCCAGCCAAAGGTGCCCAGGTTGTGCATGCTGTCACAACTGCTGTGAGTTCATTTGCCATGCTATGTCTGTAAAACATTGATTCATCATAGTCGCCTACTACCTTAAGCTCAAACTAAACAAAATCCAAGCATGGAATGGGGAGCTGGGCCTCAATCTGAAAAGACATTGGCAATTGATAGCAGTTGAGAACTAGAAAGTTGGTTTTCTTTAAGGGTGTAGTCTCTGGGGGGTAAACTGTGGTGCAATGGAAGGTGCCACACCCAGGATTATATGGGCAGCTTAAACTGGACTGAATGGGTTAACAAAGATATATATATATATATATATATATATATATATATATATATATATATAGAGAGAGAGAGAGAGAGAGAGAGAGAGAGAGAGACAGACAGACAGACAGACAGAACACAAAGGTGGGTAGAGAAGGGAAATAGAACTGTTAAAAATTGAGGAATGGGTGAATACAATAAAAATACATTGTATGATATTCTCAAAAATTAGTAAAAATATTTTTAAAGCTTCCTTAATAAATTACTTATAAAATAAAATTTCCACCTATTATTTTAAATGTATTGTTCAGTAGCATTAAATATATTCACATTACTATACAACCATCATCATGGTCTATCTCTAGAATTTTGTATCTCTCTAACTTGAAACTCTACCCCCATGAAAGCACTAACTCATTACTGTTCAAATAGCTTTTATAAATCAGCATAGAATGAAATGTGAATGGTCAAGATCTTGTGAGAATGAAATTTGCAGGCTTCTTTAGCAATGTTCTAAAGTACAATTGTTTTTCTATAGGAATATCACTTTCATTCTAACTCTGCAAATATTTAAACACTTGGCTTTCACTCAGTTGTTTTTACAAAATAACTCAAAGAAGTGACTATGGATAAGGAAAGATATTATTCATCACAGTCAACTTTGGCTTTGGTCTAATCCACAGCTCAGACTTGTCCACTGGGTGCTTCAAGTTTGCCTCATCACCATGGCAGACCTCCAGTTCTATAAGATGTCATAAGCCCGTGGTAGTTTCGCTACATTTCTGGCCTAAAATTTAAACTACTGCCTCTAGTATTACTTAAAATAACTGTGCCAAGATGTAGAAATAATGGGTTTTTAAAAACAGCTTTTTTAAAGTAGGCTAGTTACTGAACTTTAAATAGTGTATTATAGTACTTTCACATTTGGTGTTGACATGGGGATTCTTCTTTAAACATTTGTTTCATTTTTATTATGTGTGCATTTTCTGCTCTTTTATATGGTTCATGAGTACAGATGTCTACAGAGGCTAGAAGAAGGTATCAGATCCCTGGAGTTACAGGCAGCAGTGAGCCACTTCAATTTTCCATTGACTAATTAATGGTCAAGGTACTATTTTGGCCTTCAACCACTTTCTACAGAATGCAGTGACCCATCCATCTGACTAATGGTCCACTGATGTGAAATATTCAAATGACTAGGGGAAGTCTTAGCTTCCAATAAATCAGATTCATACCTGGGTTTTTTGTTGAGATCTTAGAACCCCCAAGTACCTGGCATAAAAGGCAAAGAAAAATTAGTATTGTCAGTTCTAAAGCCACTTAGTAAAATCAGAATCTTAAATACCTACCTTTTGGTTTGCGGTCCTGTGCATTTTACCACCAGAAAGTGGCATAGTCAGCCCCAAATTTAAAGCATATCTCATGTCATAGCATTATTGTCATAAGTCAGCTGTACATTATAGGACAAGAGAATATAATAATTTTGAGTATGTTGGCAATTTACTTTGTTGCAAAATGGACCAGTTGGTCAGAAATAAATATGCATAAAATAATGTGGGGATGAAAAGACAATATATGTATCAATGCTTGTGAAGTACTATAATTAGGGAAGCTAGATCCAATGTTAGAGTATTTACATGTTGTGGATAAGTTACTATTTCTTTTACTGGGGTTTTAAAATGGCAACAGAACTTGGCAACATCATCTACATGGTACCAAATTTGAATGCATGAAACACAAAACTGTGAGGGGACATGGAAGCTTGTATGAAAGTTTCTGAAACTCACTGAGTCCCTATGTGGCAGAGTTTGAAACCCTGGTGGGAATTCCCAAGATAACATAGTATGAAACAATGAAGGAAAGCTTTAGTCTCAATGGAAACTTCAGGAAGTTGCAGATGCCAGGCCTAGGAGACTAGCCCTACTCTGACCCCAGCCAAAGAATATGTGTATTGCAGATAGCAGAGATGGAGGGGAAAGGTACCTCTGGAGCACAGATAATTACATCATGAGCTCCAGATTCCAGGCATGGAACTCCAGTGCTTGGTGTTTGCTCTGGTGGCTTTTAGTCTTACTTTTGGTCTAATGTTTCTATCTTATTGCTCTTTACTTTTGGGATTGGAGTGTTTGCTCTGTGCCACTGAGAGTTGAAAGTACATAGCTTGTGGCTGGATTTTGCAGTGGCCCAAAGAGATATCACCTTGAGTCTCAGAAAAGACTTTCAAATTTTGAGGATTTAAGTTTTTTTATTGTTATTATTATTGCCATTGCCTTTTACACAGTGATTCTAGTACTTTCCTTCATATATCTCCACCATCTTTGCAGGATATCCCAGGACACTTCCCTGGATTCTTCCTGTATATCCAAACCAACAGTCACTTTCAATTTTTGAAAAACAGTGAGATCATGAGAGCCTGTGATAACTTCTACAGTTGGAATGAATGCATCAGCATTATGAGAAGACTATGAACCTATGAAGACAAGGGTGGAATGTTGTGGATTGAAGCTAAAATATCCCTCTATTAATTATGTTCCTTATTGTTGCCACAAAATGCCAGATAAGAAAGCAACTTAAGAGAGGTTGGGTTTATTTTAGCTTAAAATTAAGAGTATAAGCTCACCATTACAAGAAAATAATGTTGACTGAAACATGAGGCAACTAGCTGGTTACTATCCAAAAACAGAAGTGAAGTACATTATTCAGCTGACTTTCTCTCTTTTATATTTATTCCAGTACCTCACCCCATGGAATATTGTTGCACACAGGTAGACTAGGTCTTCCTACCACAAATAACCTGGCATAGAATCTCCCTCACATATATGTATAGATCTATCTCCTAGGTGATGCTGTATCCAGTTGACCAGCAATATTGACAGTTATAGTCATAGGCCCGCATGTCTGAATACTTCATTCTCAGATGGTAGAGTTATTTTGGAAACTTGAGGTGAAACTTTGATAAGGTTGTCATCTGGGGACAGACTTTTGGTTTGATAGCTTGTACTCCTTCTATCCTCTCTTATTTCCTGATTTCAGACTTAATGTTGCTTTATACACTGGCCACCATGTTTTTCGAAATACAATGTACTATTTCCCTTCTTAAACTGTAAGGCAAAACAAAATTCTCTTCCCTTAATCTGATTCTTTTCAGATATTTGTTAATGAGGAAAGTGACTAATACATCTATGATAGGTGGTACCAGATAATCATGGGGCTCCTTAGTTACAGGTGAATTGTCCCAACCATCAGGAAATCCATGCTAGTGATCTCATTCAGTGCTCTATCCTCTATGCCAAGTTGTCCTTACCCTACCTAGGACATTAAATATTAGGCTGCCCTTCACTGTTCTTAAATTAGATTGAGATTTAGCAAATGGATATTTAAATGAAGTGTTTCACCCAAGTCTGTACCCCTTTCAATCAGACCCCGAACTCAAACCTTACCAATAGCTCCCATAATAATGAAGAATATCAGGAATTTCTTCAGAGTTGTAGTAGAGACAGCCTAGCTCTCCAAAAGTCTTCTCAAATGCTTATTCCAAGTGTTAAATTTCCCTGAGCGCTTATGTCCATTTCCTAGTTCTGTCAGAAATGGTGAAGAATGCCACAATTTTACAAATATCTTATAGTGACCAATCTATTTACTCTTCTCTTCTGTGCCTGTATCCTACTACTATTTTCACTCTTTGTAACCGGCCTCCTTCTTTTTGTAGGTGCAATGGGATCTACAGGATTACGTTTCTATGGACACTGTGTTGTCATGTTCCTTCTTCAGATGATCACACCAAGCTCAGGTATAAATCTGTCACTCACTCTTATAGCTTTAGCAATATCAAGTGTGCCAGGAATAATAAGGATCAATAACATGGACAAGATTTTAATACCATTATTCTTAAGGTTCTAGGTAACTGTATTAGTTACTTATTCCTGCTATAAAATACCACTACCAAGGCAACCTAAAAGGGAAACCATTTAATTGGGCTGAGGGTTTCAGAGGGTTAGAGTCCATGATGGTGGAACAAAGACCTGATGGCTGTAACAACTGAGAATTCACATCTTTTAAGCATAGGGCACACTGGGATTCAAAGCAGCCTCTAGTAACATACTTCCTCCAGCAGGGCCACACCTGCTAATTCTTCCCACACAGTTCCACCAACTGTGAACCAAGTATTCCAGCATATGAACCTGTGGGGCCACTTTCATTCAGACACAGTAACCATAGGTTTAGGAATGAACCATTCTCAACCACCAGAACTTCTTAGATTTCTATCAGGTTTTTGGGAGAAAATACAAGTGAAGAAAATACTTGCTCCTCAGAATCCAATATTCATATTAAGCCAACATTTCTTACATACCACTTTTATATTGAGGAAATGGTTCAGGTTGTAGGTTTAATGGGAATCTCTGGGAGTTATAAATATAATAAGATGAGAATAGTTGACACCTTAATCTATAGTATACAATTGAATTTGTAAGGGGATTTGTGCAGTCAATATATAGATTCTTTTTGGAGGCACATGAAAGAAAAGTATGAGACAAGAATGGCACAGAAAGTTCTATTACAAGCTACATGTTAAGTGGTAAGGTTAATTTTGAATCATATTTAATTTGGCCTCACATTTGGCTAGGTTGCTACAAGTGTGTTTTCACAGTCTTAAGCATAACTGTGAATACAGCTGTAAACATATTTCTGTAAGTAGAGCTGCTAGCACTTGTTTATATTTTACTATTTTATTATGGTATCTACACTTTTGCCATTTCATATCCTTACTGATGGTAAGCATGAGCTTGTCAGATAGGTCTTACAACTGTCAGTGTTATTTTTCCACATCTTCATATAAGAAATTAGAGTCTCTGTAATTACACTTTCCTTTTGAATTAATCAATAATGCAACCATATTTCAAAAATTGCAATTTTTTTCCTGAAGAACATTTATGTCCTATTTCCTTTGCATTTCTAATCTTCTCTTCCTTGCTTTTTAACAACTTTTAAAAATCAATTTTTCTCTGTTGTATCTCATGCAAATATTTCTGTTTTAATAAAATTCAAAATAATTGCTAAATGTATTTGGGATGTGTAGAATATCTTGCTTTAACTTTTTATTATTTTGTTGATGACAAAGTTTCCCTAAAGTCTCTATCATGTTTCATTTCTCCTTTTTAACATTTATTTTTAAAATTTTATTGAAAATATTTCATACAATATATTTTGATCATATTCTTTCTTCTTCCCAACTCCCATTAGTTCTTCCCTACCTCCCAACCCACCAAACTTCATGTTCACTCTATCTCTCTCATTATCTCTCTTTTTGACCCCATCATCAAAAAAGTTTTATAACGTTCATTTTTCAGATCATCTTTGGTTTCACAGGAAAATTGTGCACCAATACACACAGTTGCCAAATGACCCAACTCTATCTACTTCACATATGTAGATTTGCCTAATTATCTTTAGTTAGTATGATATATTTATTACAATTCAATCATGATGGGTAGATTATTACTAACAAAAAATTTAAGTTTAAATTAGAGATAATGGAGTAATATTCTCTTGTTCCTAGATCCTGATGAACTATATATTGATCCTACCTTATTTACTTCAAAACTAAGACCCATCGATGCTAAAGTTGCTGAATGAAAAACTAATGTTATGAATATCTAATTACTTAAAATATATCCTTGACAATGATGCATGTCTTTAATCCCAGCACCAAGAAGGCAGAGGCAGGAAGATTTCTGTGTGTTTGAGGTCAGCCTGGTCTACAAAGCAAGTTCCAGGATAACTAGAGCTACACAGAGAAACTTTGTCTCAAAAAACATAAACAAACAAACAAACAAATAAATAAACATTATCCTATGGAAGCAGATTTTTAAATTTTTAATTAAAATATAATTTCATCATTTACCTCTCTTCTCCCTTCAACCCCTCCCATGTCTCCCTCCCTCACTCTTTGTCAAATTCTTGGCCTCTTTTCTTTAATATTTTTTCACACAAACACACACACACACACACACACACACACACACACACACACACTCACACACACACGAATGAATCTACAAATACAACCTAATTAGCTCATTTAGTGTTGATCATATGTATATACTTTTAGAGTTAGCTACTTGGTATTGGATTACCAAAAAGAAGGGTCATCTCTGGGGAAGACTAATTTTTCCTCTCTTGGTAGTCATTAATTGCCCATAGCTCTTCATCTAGGGATAGAACCCTGTGAGATTTCCCCTATTTACACTGGCATGTCAACTGGTGTAGTCATTGTTCAAGTCTTGTTTAAATAGTTACATTGTTGGGATTTTGTGGGTGTAATTTTCTTTTCATATCTATTAGATACAACCTCATAGCAGATTTACTGCTCCTCTGATTCTTACAATCTTTCTTTCCCTTTAAACAGATGTTCCCTGAGTCTGATTTGTATGAGTTGTGTTATACATGTGTCTGGGTTCCCCATAGTCAGTTGTTCTCTGCATTTTGATCAGCCATGGCTTTCTGTAAGGGTGAGGGGTGAGGGCTACATTTATCTCTGGATTTAAGCAAAAGTATTTAAAATGCAGTTAGGAATTATACTGGATTAGGAAAATGGCAGTAGTAATAAATAGCTTCTGTACACCTGAGGAAACAATCAAGTGAGTGAAAAGGAAGCCCATGGAGTAGTAGAGAATTTTGGCCAACTGTACATCTGTCAGGGGATTATTTACAAATATACAAATTACTCAGAATACAGAGTCAAGTAAAGCAACCAAATTAAAAATGATCTGAACAGAGAATTCTCAAATGAAGAAATAAAAATGGATAAGAAATATCTCAAATTATCTAATGAGATGATCATGTGGGTTTTTTCTTTCAGTTTGTTTATATGGTAGATTACTTTGACAGATTTTCATATGTTGGACCATCACTGTGTCTCTAGGATGAAGCCTACTTGATTGTGGTGGATATTCTTTTTGATGTGTTTTTAAATTCAGTTTGCAAGTATTTTATCGAGTATTTTTGTATTAATATTCATTAAGGAGATTGGTCTGTAATTCTCTTTCTTTTTGTTGTGTCTTCATGTGGTTTGGGTATCAGAGTTACTGTAGCATCATAAAATTTTTCTCAATCTAAAGAAGGACATGCTATAAAGATACAATAAGCTTACTGATCACCAAATAGTGTGAACAAAAAAGTCCCCTCACCACATCATAAGCAAAGCACTAAACATACAGAATTAAAAAAGAATATTAAAAGCTGCAGAAGATAAAGGCCAAGTAACATACAAAGGCAGACCTATTAGAATTACACCTGACTTTTCAACAGAAGCTCTAATATCCAGAAGGGCCTGGACAGATGTTTTGCAGACTCTAGGAAACCATGGATGCCAGCCAAGACTACTATACCCAGAAAAACTTAAATCACTATAGATGGAGAAAACAAGATACTTCAGACAAAGTCAAATTTAAACAATATCTATCCACAAACCCAGACCTACAGAAGGTGCTAGAGGAAAACTCCAACTCAATGAAGTTAGTTACATCCACAAAAGCACAAGAAATAGAAAATCTCATATCAGTAAAATCCAAAGAATGGAAACACGTGCATGCATGCGCACACACACTACTACTACTACTACTACTACTACTACTACTACTATTAAAACAACAACAGAATAACAAGAATTAGCAGTCATTGGTCATTAGAATCTGTAGCTAGAAGTTTTCCTGTGTCCTGCCCAGTTCTGTAGCCACTTGGTCCCAAGTAAACACACAGAGGCTTATATTAATTACAAACTGCATGGCCTATGGCTCAGGCTTCTTGCTAGCTAGCTCTTTCATCTTAAATTAACCAGTTTATATTAATCTATATGTTGCCACGTGGCTGTGGGCTGTGGGCTGGCATCTTCCCTTCCCGCCTGTCTCTTTCCTGTATCTCTGTTTGGATTTCCTACCTGCTTCTAAGCTGCCTTGCCATAGGCCAAAGCAACTTATTTATTAATCAACTAGGACAACATAAATTCACAGCATACAGAAAGTCATCCCACAGCAAGTATCTCTCAATATCAATGGCCTTAATTCACCAATAAAAAGACATAGGCTAACAGAATGAACATAAAAACAGGAGCCATCCTTCTGCTGCATACAAGAAACATACTTCAACATCAAAGATAGACATTACCTTAGAGTAAAGATTTTCCAATCAAAGGGACCAAAGGAACAAGCTGGTGTAGCAACAAAATAGACTTCAAACCAAAATTAATCAAAAGAAATGGACAAGGACATTTCATACTTATCAAAGGAAAAATCCACCAAGATGATGTCTCAATTCTGAACATCTATGCCTCAAATACAAGAGTACTTGTAAAAGAAATATTCCTAAAGCTTAAATCACACATTGAATTCCACACATTAATAGTGGGAGACTTCAATATCACACTCTCACCAATGGACAGGACATCCAGACACTAACAGAGAAATAACAGAACTAACAGTTGTTATGATTCAAATGGACCTAATAGATATCTGCAGAATGTTTCACACAAACACAAAGGAATGCACCTTCTTCTTGGCACCTCATGGACTGTCTACAAAATTAAACATATACTTGGTCACAAAGTAAGTCTCAGCAAATACAAAAGAATTGGAATAACCCCCTGTATCTCATCAGATCACCATGGAAAAGCTTGAGTTCAACAATAACACAAACTACAGAAAGCCTACAAACTCATGGAAACTGAACAATTCTCAACTAAATTACCACTGGGTCAAACAAGAAATAAAGAAGGAAATCAAAGACTTCCTAGAACTCAATGAAAATTAATGGACAACATACCCAAACTTATGAGACACATTGAAAGCTGTGCTAAGAGGAAAGTTCATAGCACTACTATGCCTGCATAGAGAAATCTCATTGGAGAAATCTCATACTAGTGACATAACAGTACTCCTGAAAGCTCTAGAAGAAAAAGAAGCAAACACAGCAAAGAGTAGTAGATGGCAGGAAATAATCAACCTGAGGGCTAAAATCAGTAAAATAGAAACAAAGAGAACAATACAAAGAATCAATGAAGCCACCAGTTGGTTCTTTGAGAAAATAAAGACAGACAAACCCTTATCCAATCTAACTAAAATGCAGGGAGAGAATATCAAAATTAACAAACCAGAAATGAGAAGGGGTCAGAACAACAGGCACTGAGGAAATCCAGAGAATCATTAAGTCATACTTCAAAAGCCTGTACTCCACAAAACTGAAAAATCTAAAAGAAATGGACAAATTTCTTGATAGATACCAATTACCAAAATTAAATCAAGATCAGATAAGCAATTTAATTAGAACTATAACCCCTAAGGAAATAGAAGCAGTCATTAAAATTTCCCAACCAAAAAAAGCTCAGGACCGCATGGTTTCAGTGCAGAATTCCACCAGACTTTCAAAGAAGAGTTAACACCAATACTCCTCAAATTATTCCCCAAAATTGAAAGAGAAGGAACATTGTCAAATTCTTTTTATAAAATAAACATTTAAGACCTTATTTTGTTCTTTATGAAAAACAATTTTATTATTATTAAACATCAATTTATCAATTATACATTAGCACTTGGAACTGTTTAGCTTCAAGAGAAAAAACTTAAATTGATTTCATAATGTTGACAAACTCAGAAAAATAACAGAAGTGACTGAAATTTAAGCAAGTTTCTTACTGGGAAACTTAGAATACTAAGATTTTTTTCTTCTTACATTTAGTAAGTATGACAGAACAGAAATGAGAGACTATAAAATGTCTTCTATTTCCACACTTTATTCCAGTTAGGGACTCATTGTCAAATTTGAAAATTTATGAATTCTAACCTGAAATTGAATCTGCTGTAACCACCTTGAATCAAAAGAAAAAGCAACAACAAAGATGTTTTAACCAGGGCATGCTTACAGGGGTAGACTGTGGTACTTTAGTGTATCTTGTTGATGATTCTGAAGACAGATGAGAAGGTTCTATGGTAAGAGATTATAGTGAGTGAAGGAGGGAGATAAATAAATATTCAATGATTAAGAATTAAGCAGAAATGGACAAATATAAGAATTACACAATTCAAGAAGCTCTGTGTAACTTTGCCAGAAAAAAACATAAATTTATTCAATGGTTTATTATGAAGAACATCAAATATTAAAATCAGTTAAATGTATAAATTAAGGTAACTTTGGGATGAAGTAGCTATTAATAAAGGGATTTTTTTCTGTTGTGTGTTGAGGAGAAACAGGCAGAAGGGGAAGAGGGAGAGGCAGGCAGGATGGGAATAGGGAAAGACTGATTTAAATAAAATAAGTTATGTCCTGTCACTACTACCTTAAGTTCTTGTTTTCCTTACCAGAGAAGTTCACAGTGACTGGCTCAGAGGGGCCAGTCTTGACTCCACTGGGTGGAACCCTGGAACTCAGTTGTCAGTTGTCTCCACCACAAAATGCACAGCACATGGAGATACGCTGGTTCCGGAACCATTATACACAGCCAGTACACCTGTATAGGGGTGGTAAAGACCTGCATGGAGAAACTATCTCTAAGTATGTGGAGAGGACAGAACTCCTGAAAGATGCCATTGGAGAAGGAAAAGTGACCCTCAGGATCCTTAGCGTGACTGTTGATGATGATGGTCCTTACCACTGTGTCTTCAAAGATGGCGATTTTTATGAAGAGCACATAACAGAGGTCAAGGTCACAGGTAGGCATGGATCTTTCTGAGGTTCCTATAAATCCACATTTTCAATCCATCAGGGTTTGAAACAGTGAAATGTTCAATGTTTCTGTGTCTATATTATATTGGTTCATTACTAAGATCAGTTTTACAAACTTTGTTTCTCATTTAGATCAAAAATAAAATTATGGCCATGTACACGTCAAGTCTATCAGTAAATTTTGTTTTAGGTTTATACAAATTGCTATATTTCTAACATATCTATGAAACACTTTTAGGTTTGTTTTATTTTTTCAGCAATTTCTAACAACATGTTAATAAAATGTGATTTTTACCAGTGACTTTAACTTTAAAATAGTTTTCTTTGTGGTAATTTTTATTCCCAATTCTCCTTAAATCAATTCACTGGCTACTTAGTGTGAGGTTAACATTCCTGTATCATCAGTGTCTGCAACTACGTAACATTTAAATTTTTCTTCTCAACCCTGTAAACTGTTATGAATGGCAAAATAATGGCAGGAAAGTGAGTTGAAGTAAAATGAAGTGATTTGTACTTTGAGCATATGTGTTTTGGACTATACATAGTTAATATTTGTGAACCTTATATTTTCTCTCAACCCAATGTTTCTGTGTCTATATTATATTGGTTTATTACTAAGATCAGTTTTACAAATTTTGTTTTTCACTTAGATCAGTTGTGTTGGCACAGGTCTTTAATCCATGTACTTAGGAGGCAGAGGCAGGCAGATCTCCATGAGTTCAAGGCCAGCCTAGTGTACACAGAGTTCTAGGCTAGTCATGTGTATGTAGGGAATTCCAGTCCAGCCAGAACTCCATAGTAAGACCCTGTACGAAAAAGAAAGGGAGGAAGGAAGAATGTAAGTAAGAAAGAATAAAAAGAAAAAAGAACACCACAGCATATATATATATATATATATATATATACACACACACACACACACACACACATATATACATATATATATATATATATATATATATATATATAATAATTTCGATTGATTTAAATTAATTACCTAAAATCAATCATTCTCTTCTGAAATATCACTTGCCCTTTTTAGGGGTTTAATCATCTCATTTAAAAAGTAGGATTGGATCAGACAGCAAATATGTAGAATCTGTTGTATCAGAAAGCTGTTTTAGACAGTTATTTGGGGATTATGTTTAATCACAATTCTTTCTTCTCCACATTTTAGGCAATTCTTATGTCCCAGATAATGTCCTAACACTTTCAAAGACATTAACTTGATCTAAATTAGTATGCACTGTATTTTGAAGACACCAATGTGTTATTTATTCCATATGAAATACACTGTGTGTAAATATCAACTGGACACACAGAATATGAAATTGTAGTTTCAATTAAAGACTCAAAATTGCATATATGATATTGTTGACTTTAACATTTAAAATTGGGACTCAAGGGTGATTAAGTGTTGACCATGGAGAAAACATTTTAAGCCACAGATTTTATGAGGAAATAATATTGATTTTTATTTATTATTATATTTCAATGTCCCAGACTAGTCTTAAATTAATAAGAAGTAAATATTTGTTAGTGAATCAGTAGACAAATGAAACAAGCACCTGTTTTTATGTAACAAGCACCTGGTCATATAGAACATTTTGCTAATGGTGTACTGTGACTGTATATTAAGTTCTTCCCTATTTTTGAAACTCATGCTTCAGGCTTTAGTTATCAGTCAAAATGGAGGAGAGAGTTTTATTTTTCGGTCCTATTCCCCATTTCATTCACTTAAAAATGCTGTTTTATTCCTGTGTTTTCAATCAGCTGTGAACTTGCGGGTACAGATCCACCTGCATCCTCCTAATACCAAAGGTTTAATAGTGGAGTGTCACTCTGGAGGTTGGTTCCCACGGCCTCTCATAGAATGGAGAGATGGCAGAGGAGAGGTCATTCCAGCTGCATCAAAATCTCATTCACAGGATGGAGACAAACTGTTCATTATGAACACAACCCTTCTCGTTAAAGACAGCTCCTCCCAGAAAGTCATTTGCTGCTTTCAGAACCCTCTGACAGGTCAAGAGCAAAGGACAAGTGTTGTCCTATCAGGTAAAGTCTGAGTATTTGTTCTTCAATATCAGCTATTGCAGATAATTTAAAACTAGACAGAATGATTCATTTTCTTGACTTTATTTCAAAAGCACTAATTTATTTTAGTTTTATTCATCATGTTGATTTTATCTTGCTTATTGTCTTTTCCACATTCATTTATTTTACTTTGCCTTCTAGATATTGGAGTTCTATGACAATTTCAAAACTTTCTTTATTTGGGGGGATTTTACACATGTATATAGTGAAATATGATCATGCCCATCTCCCCTTTCAGCTACCCCCTTATCCTTTTCAACACACACATCTCCCAACTGTAGCTGGAGTTTTCTCTCCAGGTCCCGCCAAACCCTGGCAGTCCCTTAGCCCACTTATAAAATAAACATACAGATGCTTATATTATTTAAACTGTTTGGCCATTAGCTCAGGCCTATCATTGTCTAGCTTTTACTCTTACATTCGGCCCATTTCTATTAATCTATACTTTGCTGCATGGCTTGTGGCTCTTAGATTCTTTCTGCCCTCACTTCTGAAATGTTCCCTGAGCCTTAATGATGGTGGGACTAATACAGATGTCATGTTTAGGGACTGAGTACCCAGTTTCTTATTCTTAGAATTTTGAGCATTGGCTACTGCCCATTGCAAAGGAGGCTTCTCTGACCGAGGTTGAGGAGAGTCTAGGTCTATGGGTGTAAACACAATTGTTTAGAAGATAATCAGTCAACACAAATACTGAGAAAAGTAACTATAGCATTTTCTACACTTGTGTTTATGAGTTTCTGAGCCATGGGCTTTTGACCAAGATTGCAATATCAAGGATGAAATTTCCTTCCATGGAGGAGGTGTCAAACAAAATCAGAAAACAGTTACCCCATTATAGTTGTTCCACTATTGCCCCATCTCACTTGGCACCTCAGTATTATAGTATGCAGAGTTCAGCACTAGGCAGGACCATTGGTGTCTTTTCTCCCCAGTCACCTTCATAGATACTTCCAGTACTATACAAGCTAGCTAGCAGGGCAGAAGCTTGATTAATTTGCTGCCTTCCAAATCACACATCATATATTCAGCTTCTCTAAACAAAATTTTTGAAGTGATCCTTGACTTCTTTCTATATGGAAGTAGATATCTTTAAAATATATCTAGAGTCTCATTGTTATTGTAATCTCAAAGCAGAAATTGGATTCTGGGATCCAGTAACCTAGACTCAATCCAGTATTTCAAAGGAAAAACAGTTAAAGATCTTGATGGTGAGTGAACTGAGTTTGACCCAAGGGACTCACATGGTAGAAAGTAAGAATCCACTCACACAGTAGTCCTCTAATCTGATGTGCATGCGTGAGCGCACACACACACACACACACACACACACACACACACACACACACACACAAAATATCACCATCACACACAAATAAATAAATGTATAAGCTGAATAAAATTTAGAGAAGGATGTTGATGGTAACACATGATGTGGAACTTTAAATTTAGTGTAGTCAAAGTGAAAATACAAATCTTATGGCTGTCCTACAGTAGCATCACCATTTGTAAATTATTAGAAGAGAATGAATAAATGAAAGAGTTGAGGGTTCTAAGGAAGACCCCATGGTACTGGTACCAAGAAAATTGTTGCTTTGTAAGGACTGGGAAAAAATCTTCTCATGGTACAGGATGTTTGTCAGACCTATGCTCCTGGAGTTTAATACATATTGAGAGATAAGAGCAACTCATAAAAGATCAGGTCAGAGGAAAAAAATGGAGTCAATGTTGATGACTGCATTCTTCATCATAACTTTTGACCACTATCATCCCTGCCATCTAATTTTAAGACTCCATCACCCATGCTCAGTTGTAGCAATAGGATCCTTGAAATTTCCCATTGCTACTTTTGCGCATAATTAGATAATAATCAACCAATAGGAGGAAAGACTTATTAAAATAGTAATCATGAAACATTACTCTCTGTTCAAGTCCTTGAAAATTCACCCTATCTTTTCCCAGAATAAAATGCCTCACAGTGCTCTGTGTTGAATGTGCCCATTACCTTATATATTCTCATCTCCTATGGGTTTCCATTGTCCACACCAATCTACTCACATGGACTTGGCTGCTTCTCATACAGAGAGACTAACTCCTGCTCTCAGATATTCACTCTGGATGTCTTTTATTCTCAGCATGCTATAAATTCTACTCACTCCCTTATTTCTTTAGCTGTCCTCTGATCCAACTATCAACCATCTTATTAAAGATTACTGAGATAAAAGTCCTAAAAGCGTATGATCTGTCCCTCCACACACCTGAGATTCTGTTATTTTGCCATTTCTTATTCTTTTAGCATTATTCCACTTTAACTCACTGTACAACTCAATTATAATTGGCCTTTACCTACTTTTGTCTACTTTGTTGGTTGCATATACTGATATGTATAAACTGTTTGAAATATTTCATATTATATTATCTTCAAAGAACACCAATTTACATAAGTGTATTGAAATAAAACTCAAAGTGTGCCTTTGTAAACTGCCAAATAATCATGCATTTGTCAATTGTTTATATGTGTTCATGATACCAATGTAAGATTGAGATGAAGGGAGGTATGTTGAAAACTCAAAAGAATTATGTAGGAATAACTCACCTAACACTTTAGAAATTTAGTTTCTTCAAAATATCTCTGCATTTATTTTTCACTCAGTTTCATTTTCTCATTCAATTAAATCTTCAAAAGGAAGTAAAGCTCTGTACTCTAGTTGTGTCAGAAACAGGGAGATACATAATTCCAAGATATAAACAAAGTTTAAACAATCTATTCTCCTTCCATTGTTCATAGCATATTTGTATATGCATATATACATACACACATATACTCTTTCTCACAAACATACATACATATGACATACTATGTGTATAGAAACATATATATCTAAAACATACACACATATATAATGCATTTGCAACAATTGCATATATAAAAAATAAGAAAGAAAATAGGCAGTACTTGTTATTTATTTACAACTTGAGTTAATCATAAAAAGCATATTTTATGAATCACATCTTCCTTAAGAAGTTATGCTGTTTGAAAAACAAGTTTGAAGGCTAAAAGTAGAGCACAGTTGATAGAGCATTTGTCCAGAGTGCACAAAGCCTCTGGGTCCAATCTCTAGCACCACATTCAACAGGCTTGTTGTACCCCAGTAATCCCAGTACTAGGGAGGTAGAGGCAAGAGGGTCAGGAGTTCAAGGTCTTCCATATATGAATTCTGTACTGCACACTGTATGAGAGCTTAGACAAAGGACTGGAAGGTGGAGTGAGGGATGACTTTATCATGGTTACTTGAGACCTGTGTTTGAGTCACAGGCAGAGGAAAGGAGCACTTAGCTTTGCCTCTTCCCTTTCACTGAAGAAGCTCCTGTAAGGGAGTGAGAGGGAATAATTTTACACCAGTCTTACACTAAGTCATACCTGGCTTACCTTTATTCCAGACCTGCCATGCTTTTCATTGGGCCCACAATAACTTTCTCCAAAGTGTATTACATCTAATATGCCAGAGATATGAGATCTTTAATAAGAACACACCTTGCAGGCATCATCATTTGTTATTGGATGAGTCTAAACACTTAATGTTTCCTACATTCTAAGATTTGTGACCATCTATTTCAGATGCATTTTTTTCATGGAATAAGATTTGGAAAACAATTCTGGGTATAATATTACTTGTGATGGTGTTCTCTATAATGGTTTCCAGTTTTCAGCTATATTACAGACGTAAATGTAAGTAGTTTTGAAGGATGAGAGATAAAAAGTGGGAAAGTGGGGAGGGGTGACTAAAGCTGAATGAACATTGATTTCCAAACCTCTACTTTTAGAATGCTCTAATGCCTCGTGTCATCAGTTAGATGTGTGTAGTTAGTTATTCTTTGTTCCTAGATTGTCTTATCTTTCTACTGGAGCTATTGACAATGTTGTTTATAAAACTTGGGGTCCTAGAACCCCAATCATGCTGGAATTACTTTGTCCTATTGTGACAGAAATTCAAACTAACCTAGAGAACTTTTCAAAACTTAACACCATTTTCACAGATTTGTCACTTCATTTCTTCAAGGATCCAAAAACTTTGTCAAGGGTAACAGTGAAGTTCTCAACGGTACATGGTAAAATGATTATAAAGCGGTCACTTGTCACAGCAAAGAGAAAATAGATCAAAGGGATGTGTACTAATTGTAACATCTGGTAATTTACTTATTATAGGAGACAAAGTTTGCATCTGTTCTCAACTATGCTGCACTCAGGAGAGGAGTATAGAAGAATATATATAAATCTGTCTTGGCCTTGAAAGTGCTCTTGAAAAAAAAAGTCTCAAATACAGACCCCTTTTGGAAGAGCACGATTAGGCATCCTAGATCTCCTTCCACATGTAGTTTAGACATCCGCTGAGGAATTCATTCTTAGTGATTTTACACATTTCTGAAGTTCTTGAATTTCTTGTTGACATTGAAAAGTGATATTGTAGTCTGAACTTGCTAGCATACTCCAATAGCTCCTGTTTTCTACCACTGCATCTAAGGGATATAGAGAGGAATGCCTGAAAGTCAGTTAGTCAAGACTGACTCCAGTTTGACTGTCCCTGGGGATACCTTGAAAGTGGTTTGTTGACTCTCATCTCCCTAACACTAAGGTGTGTGCTGCAAATATGATTTTATTCAATGCTAGGGACAGATCCCAGGGATTCGTACATACTTAGCACAGTTGTAGTGATATTGTGTTTCCCAATATATTGTGTACCCTAATAAACTCATCTGGGGTCAGAGAACAGAACAGTCACTAGATATAGAGGCCAGAAAATGGTGGCACACACATCTTTAATCCTAGCATTCCAAAGTCAGAGATCCGTCTGGATCTCTGTGAGTTCAAAGCCACACTGGAGAAAGCCAGGCATGGTGACTCACGCCTTTAATCCCAGGAAGTGATGGCAGAAAGCAGAAAATTATATAAGGCCTGAGGACCAGCAAATAGAGTCTTGTTAAACCTTGAGATTTTATTTCAGCTGAGATCCATTCAGATGAGGACACAGAGGCTTCCAGTTTGAGGAAACAAGATCATCTGAGGAATTGGCAAGGTGAGGTTGGATGTGGCCTGTTCTGTTTCTCTGATCTTTCAGCATTCACCCCAATACCTAGCTCCGGGTTTGTTTTTATTAATAAGACCTTTTAAGATTCGTGCTACACACAGTATTTATCAACTGAGGTACATCTGTACACTGTTACTGCATTCTTTAAGAATGTAAGTTTAAGGATAAATACTTAGAATATACTTAGAGATTATGAAGGCCCAGTTAGTAAAGTACATTTGTAGGTTCTCCTGCAAGATCTATGATTTTGCTAGCCCTGGATGGTTGGCCAGGTTCCTGTATCAGTCACGATTCCTTCTTGTTGAGCAGGTCATAATGTTGGTTACCACTGAAGCATGCATGACAGTGTTGCATCCTTAGAGTTCTCATGCCATATGCACGTATGTGTATGTAACAACAGTTAATGAAAAAGTAGGCCATGAATTTGAAAGAGATCAATGGGGTGGGGGTAATATGGGAAGGTTTAGAGGGAGAAAAGGGAAGAGGGAAATAACAAAGTATATTATCTCAAAAGTTAAAAAAGTGTAGAACTTATTCTGTGTGTCTTACATTCATTGAGCTATCAAGGGTTAACCATGGCTTTTCAGAATCTATTGATTTACAGTCAAACATATTTTTAAATAGAGTTTTACTATAAAAATCTCCTCCCATTATTCAACTGTTTCTCACTGGCACACTTTGAACCCCTAACATTTTACTAACTTTGGTACACAAGGTGTTGAATGGATCATTTCCAAGGGGGTGGTATTAATTTTATAACAAGAATTATCACATCAGACCGATAGACAAGAGGGAGCAAAGTAAAGATTACCCTCTTTCTGCAGGCTTGTCGGTCTCAGTCTGGAACTGTTCCCATCCTATAAAGCCTTCTGCCCCTCCCTCATGCCAGCCCTCTGATTTTCAGTCCTAAGTCATGTTATGTTCTAATAAACACAGGGAGATGACATCAGATTACAGCTCTTGCTTTCTTGATATACTTTTCAAACCTAAGGAATCTCTACACCATAACCAGTGATTATAACTTTGTTTCTCTAGGTAGCACCTGCGCTGCTCCTTGGGTGATGGGCATATTGATAATGATGTTTTCAGGATTGATTGTCATAGGACTCATGGTGTGGTTGTATATGAAAGAAAGAGGTAAGTACCATCAAGTGTATATACAGTAAATATCCTTTTTACCGAATGCCTAGTCACTGGTAAGACATTTGGCTAAAGAAAAGTAATGTTTGTTTGGATTGCAAGACCAACAGGCTCCTGAACTTCTTTACCTGTTTTACATTATTGGTCGCATCTGCCTCAATTTTGTAGGTGTAATGGAAGCTATATAAACAAGGTAAAAATTGAAGATGGGGTAATTCTTTATAGTAATGTGGGATTATAGCCCAAAAGCTGAATGCAGAACTCACAAACTTGAGGTAGATTTTCAGTAATTTTTTTCATTAACTTTCTCTTCTGAGATTTGGACACAGCCTAAAATCAAACTAGAGTTAATACACAAATTCATCAATATATTTGTTATATGAGTGATCCCTCAGAACTTTATAGACAGTGTAAGAATCCAGTCATAAAAGATGGGCAGATAATTTCCTTGGTCAAAATGAAGTTCCCCTTTTTACTTTTTTTTCATTTATTTGATTTGAAGTCTATTTTGTAAAGTATTGGGATAACTTAGCCTCTTCTACACTCATACATCCATAAGGCACAGAGCAGTAGAACCTGAGAAGTGAATCTATCATAATTCTGTAGTACAGCCTTACCATATCTGCTGCAAATTTCCTAATCTTTGCAATTCTCCCCAGTTCCTGTTTCAGATGCACATTTTGAATTGGATACTTTGTGGTTGGAAGATATAAGTGTCATCCTGTGTGCACTGATGGTTTCTGCCACCATGCTCATTTCTTATGTATACTTCAGATTGAGAGGTAAATGGGATGAGAAGTGTGTCAACTCATAGACTGTGTTTCTGTGTGATGTCAAGCTGTCTAAAAGCTGAAATTCCTAATCATAGTCACGTAGTTTTTAAAAAATGTAAAGCGGAAAGCATGTGTGCTCTATAAAGACTTTCAATTTATGGCCTTCTCCAGGCTTCTGGGAAATATAGTTACACAAATGATGGTGCCTCAAATGCTGAGGACAGTCTCAGATCTTACTGCACACTTATAAGAAATGTATCAGGGAAAGGTGGAAAGGCTGCTATAATTCATCCATTCTCTGAACAGTTTGTTTCCACTTCATCTCAAGTATTAAGATGATAATTGAATGCCATAAATTCCTCTATGAGAAGCATGCAAGTTTTTACAAGGAATGGGCCAAGAAAATTCTCAACCCTACACTCATATCTTGGAAACATTCCCTAAATTATGCCCAAAGCTAAATGCCCAGCTTTTATTGTGCAACTTATAGTCTTTATGCAAACAGAAGTGTATATATATATATATATATGTATGTATGTATGTGTGTGTGTATGTAAGCCAAAATAGAAATTTTCGACACCTGTTTTTTTTATCTACCAATAACCTATAACCCTAAAGTATTACATTAAAAATATGCACACTATTAATCAAGTTTTAATTTTTATTGCCAGTGAGCTTTCCCCTCAAATACAATGAAAAGCTGTAGTGAGTTCCTATGGATGATACAGAGAAGTTATTAAGCAAATAGATTCATAGATTAAACTCAAAAGAATGATACACTATATTTTTATTTTTGCATTTTGTGTATAGGATTTTTGTTGAAGTTTCTGATATAGAGTTGGAAAAGCCAAAATGAGAATATTCACCAAGCCTCAGCAGTAATTTCCAAATCTCAGCAGTTGGAATGTAGCAAACACAAGAAACATGTGGTCTTCTGTAATACAAATTAGCATTCCCGTACCCAGCTTCTGCTAAGAAAAGTAACTCCTTCATTATCTTGCAATCAGGAGGATGGGTTAACAATAAAGAGAAGCCACAAGAAATCTATAACCAATATTCTTCAACTCAAGTCACATTTACCTGTTGACTCAATAGATAAACAGGAGAGAGTTAAGGAAGATTTAAGCTGTTCTCAAAATGCAGGAGGAACCAAGATAAGGCCTCTTTTCAGCTACTTGTGATATTAGTGCTATTAATATTGCTTATTTGTATCCATTGAGAACAATGACACAGTTGATTTATCCATTTAAATATTTCATCAATTGATCTTCTTTATCTAGAATTCTATAAAAAGGGAGTTAATGCAATATATTCATTGTTTTCAACTAGAGATTACACAGCGCAATGAACCAAGAACACACTTTACTATTAATTGTTTTCAGTCTATTCTAATGTATCTCTAATGGCTAATATAGAATTTTATTACAAAAAATTAATAATAAAACAAGCAAAAAATTGAAGTTGATAAAAATTCACTTCTAGTTCAAATGCGTTCAATTAGCTTTTAAATTTTGAACATAAAATCATCCAGGAGCAATAATAACCAGGTCAACCTTATTTACAAAAACAGAGCAATATTCCAAAATGTATGTATGTTATGTGTAATTTTTGCCCTCCTGAGGTGTGATAATGCTACATAGCCCAGGCTAGTATGGGACCTACTCTGTAGCCCAAACCAGCTTTTATGTCTTGACAATCCCCCTGCATCAGCCTCCCAAGTCCAGGGATTACAGTCCATGACACCCAGTTCTAGTGTTACTTACTATTTTTTGTTGTTGCTGTTTGTTCTGTTTTTTTTTCTCCCAGTTTTACAAGGTGTGTATTTGAGTATTGGGATAAAATCTTGGGTTTTGTTAGCTTGACTCTCTGTACACTTTCCCTGAAACACTTTGACTCTTCTCCTATGTTGAATGGTTGATTGTTAAAATTCTATAATTCTCACATTTTGGAAATTACAGCTCAAGAGGATATATAAGAGCATATAAGTGTGTATAGAGCATTGTAGAACAGACCCTGGATAATTTCTAATGTTTTTCATATAATCACTGTTTTTATTTTGCAATAACTTTTCCCTTCATTGTTACCTTAGTCCTGAGAAGAGAAAGACAGCAAATATCTTTGGCTGGTTTTCTCAATAAACTATTACACCAGTTTTAAATTTTTTTTTTTGTTTTGTTTTTCGAGACAGGGTTTCTCTGTGTAGCTTTGCGCCTTTCCTGGAACTCACTTGGTAGTCCAGGCTGGCCTCGAACTCACAGAGATCCGCCTGGCTCTGCCTAATTTTTTAAAAATATTTTTAAATATTCTAATCCAGTCCAGCTCTTTTCTAAGATACCCATTTTGCTTGCAGATTTTTCCCAAGAGGAATTTTTTTCCTCATTGATTTTAAACCAGGGAACTCAAGTTAATTAATGACCAAATAAAAGTTGTTATGTTTGCCTTTATAAAATACTTTTGACATCTCATAGGACATCAGTATGTCATCACATGTGTTCCCATTTATACTTACCTTTAGTAATCTGTAAGTTAGCAGTACTTGAAGCAAATATTATTTCTTTGACAGATTACCTACAAAAGTTTAGGGAATAAAAAAAATTGTCAGATTTCTCACTTGGAACTTTGGTTACAGAGCCTGTTGAACCTGAAAATTGCAAGAGAAGGAACAGTTCCACAATTTTGAGTCAAATTTGCAGCAAGCTTTAATTAAATACTGGCTAATGGGCAGTGGTGGTGCATACCTTTAATCGCAGCACTTGGGACGCAGAAGCAGGAGGATCTCTATGTTCATGGCCAGCCTGGTGTACAGAGTAAGTTCCACAGCAGCGGAGGCTACACAGAGAAACTCTGGATTGAAAAACTAAGTAAATAAATAAATAAATAAATAAATAAATAAATAAATAAATAATAAATAAATACTGGCCAGGATGATGGACTGTGGTCAGGTCCATTTCTGGGTTCATAAAAAATGACCAGGAGTCACGTTTTTGCAGAAGCTTAAAAAGGTGAAACTCACAATTCACTGCATTTCCTCTTAGGGGCACACATACATCCTGATATATTTCCTGCCTATGTACCTCTCACTTACTCCAATCAAGCACATCCAGTGCAGTTGGGTCAAATGAATGTTTAGGGAAGTGAAAAGATGTGGCTTATTATTTTCCAAGAACCACAGCCCCCCAATTTCCAGGAATTTATCTGTCCTTGGGCAAGTGGAGCTTACAGGTTAACCTTGGCTCTACAGGTAGAACAAGAGGCTAAGATCCCCACGGAAAATATGGTTATATAAATTTAGACATGCTCTAATGATTGCAGATGATAAAGAAACACTTGGAATTCAGATTTGCATTCTATTGTTAGGTCTTGGGGAAATAATTTTAAATAAAAAGATGGAAATACAGTCAAAACATGAGTCATGGGAATAGTGTAAATGAAAGCAATAATTCACAAGGCAAACAGATGTAATTACCTACAAATAGAAATAATTTCATGTCATTAATGAAACACAGTATTTACATCTAATAAAACATGTTAAATAAACATTATAGTTCAAACAAAGATATTTCCAAGCAATAAATAGAAACATAAATTTAGCATGCTCTCCTGAGTGTATTACAAGAAGAGCAGAATGGAATAAAGATTGTTTAAGACAGGGAAAGACATTAGAGACAAGTTCAGAAATGGGCCCAATGATAGAGTAAAGGAATTAGCTCTGCTTCTTACAGAGCAGAAGAGGGTAACTCCAAGTTAAAATGAGCTGTGCTGTATGTGTGTGTGTGTGTGTGTGTGTGTGTGTGTGTGTGTGTGTGTGTGTGTGTGTGTTATATGTGTGTATGTATGTTATGTATGTGTGTGTGCACGTTTGTGGATATAAGATGTCAATGTCAAGCATCTTCCCCAATTCTTCTCTACCTTATATTTTCAAATAGTCTTTCATGAAATTGAAATTCTCTGATTCAGCCAAATTTGCTACCCAGAAAACCACAGGGATATTCCTATCTCCATATTTTCAGCCACCCTGGACTATACAAGATTAATCCAGTTTAAAAGAGAAACAGACAGGCAGTTGTGGCACACATCTTTAATTCCAGCACTTGGGATCACACAATCTCAGTAAGTACTTGGGAGTCACACACCATTGATCCCAGCACTAGGAAGGTTGAAACAGGAAGTGATATGACTGGACAGAGAAAGGAATATAAGGCAGGAGGAGACACTAGGCCATGTCAGCTGAAAGAGGTATCCATCTGAGGATTCATGGAGCCAGGATTTTCCCTTTTGGCTGAGGACCCAGGGACATTCAGTCAGAGAATTCATGGAGTTGGAGAGGTGAGAAGTGGCTGTGGCTTGTTTCCTCTTATCTATCAGCATTTACCCCAGTATCTGGCTCAGGATTTTTATTATAAGACCATTTAGGATTCATGCAACACATGGGAGTTTCAACCAAAACTAAGCATGAATGAAAATGTCACAAGCAAACCTGTTATTTTGTAGAATAATTAAAATATAAAAAATTAAAACTATACATGATTCCAAAAATATATGAAAAATAAACTAATCTTAGAAGAAGAAAGTAAAGACAAATTATGGGAATAAACAATAAAATAATAAATAAAAATAAGAACCACATAAAAACTTTGTAAAAGTTGCTGTACTGTACATATGCCATCACATGTGCAAAGTTAAGTTGAATAGTAATGAAATAAATGTAAAAAAATAAAATTAAGGTTCAAATTGATGTTTCTTGGATATACTAAATATGTGAAAATATTTTCCTAACTTAATTTGTTGAAATATTTCCAATTTTATTTTTTTTTAAATTAGGATTTATTAATTTTATTCTGTGTGTGAGTGTTTTGCCTGCATGTATGTTTGTGGATCACTCATGCCCTGTGCCCACAGAGGTAAGATGAGGGCATCAGTTACCCTGGATCTGGAGTTGCAGATGGTTGTAATCCACCATGTTGGTGCTGGAAACCAAACCAGCTTCCTCTTCAAGACTAACAAGTGCTCTTGATAGCTGAGCCTCCTCTCCAGCCCTCAG